AGTAATATATTTTTTATTTAATAATATGATTTTTTATAAGGATAATAATTAAGAATTACGTTAGAACTCAATAATTATCCTAATTATATTTAAAAAAAATTATATTTAAAATAAAAATATTTATCGAGAATTTGATTATGTTTATCTGCAGTTAATTATACGAATTCAAAAATGAAGCTTTAATATGTTATACTAACGCACAATTTACTTTTAATCTTAAATTTTAAGTAATATGCATTAATAAACAGTACTTCATGCATAAAGAATGGTTTTGTGAATTTTTAATATAATAATTCTTAAAAAAATGTTAAAACCCATCTTAGATATTTATATTGCATTTGAATGAGAGGTGGTTAAACCAAAATTTTTGCCCCCTTGATGTTCTTGTTTTCTTTCATTTGATAGTTACCTACTACATTGACAACACCCATTTCAACTTCCTTCTCATACCAACTCCAACAACAAATCACCTCCATTCTTAGCTCTTAAACCCCCCCTAAAACACCACCCCTATCTCATTCATTCATTCATTCATACATTTGGGTTTTTGCTATGGCTCGAGTCCATCCGTCGACGATACTGGCAGAGACGATATCATGGTACTGTTCGTTGTTCTTGGCGATAATGCTGATATTGAGTTGTTGTGAATCATCGGTTACAGACGACGAAAGAACAGTTGTCAAGATTCGCTTCAAGGATTCAGTTTACAAGCCATGTGATGAGATTTATGTTGTTCATGAAGGAGAGACGTTGCATACTATCAGTGAAAAGTGTGGGGACCCGTATATTGTTGAAGAAAATCCTCATATTCATGATCCCGACGATGTTTTCCCGGGACTTGTAATTAAGATCACGCCGTTAAGAAACAAGTAAATTGAAGATGGTGTTTTCGTGTTTTTTGCTTGTATCATTTTGAGTTGTCTTCAATGAAGTAGCGATTAATTTATGTTATTTTTTTGTTCACGGATCTATTGAAATGGAAAACAAATCGATTGATTGAAGAAAGTGTTTATTTTTAGAATACAAAAAATAGATTTTTTATTTTTTGAAATTAAATAGAACTAATTCACGAGTTGTAAAAAACATGCACTCTAAGGGGTCGTTTACCTAAACACTTATTTGGTAAATGCTTACCGGTAAAATTCAACACTATCACTTATCTTACCTAACAAGACTTTAGTTCATAAAAACGACATTGTATGTTAATATCTTCCCGGTAAGCGCTAACCGAGTAAGAGCCGTCACTTTCACTTATCGGGTAAAACTCTCAGTCATTGCTTTTGCTCTTACCTAGTAAGATTCTTGGTCTCTGTCATAGTCATCTAATAAGATATTGTGACTTAGTAAATGCTTACCCAGATAAACGTTTGGTAAACTTATTTTACCAATATAACTTCAAAATAAAACTTAATTATCTTCTAAAACATCAAATAGGTCTTCTTTTTACATTTTATTCATTCGTTAAATTTTATTTATTGTATTTTATGCTTTTTAAACTTTCATTTTACTGTCTTCAAAATATTATTTTTATAAGCGCATGTATTTTTATTAATTTATGTAATTTATAACATACTAATAATTAAAAATAATGTATAAAAGAGAAAATATAAAAAATGAAAACTACATAACCTTTTAATTTTGATGTCATATTAATTGTTTTGACGAAAACTTTTTAATGATATATTTTGTTATAAAAAAATAATTATTTTATTATAATTTAATAATTGCATAAATTAATCAAAATATATAAACAACTCATTAGAAATAAATTGATCATTTACTTATTCTGTTATGTTCTGTTCTGTTTTATCAAACACTGAACAACTATTCTATTCTGACCTATTTTATTGAGACACCAAACGCACCTTACTCTCCATGGCTATACTTCCACTAATAGCCTAACAAGGCCTTTCTTAATTGTTTAATAAAAAAAATAGTAATTATGCCTTTCTTTAACGGGAATATTTAGAAATATAACTTTAAATAAAATTTTAATTAAATCGATAATCTTCGGTTAAATATAAACTCATTTATTTTTAATTGATGAAGAGGTCATGAATTTAATTCAAATCTCATTTAAGATTATACACCTAAATGACCATTCTTAACTTGAATATAACGATACGGCATGTAACAGACCCTTAATTACACAAAAAATTTACTTTAAACCCTTGAGAATAATGATTACAAGAGTGAGTTCCCCAAAATAGAAATAAGGTGAAAGTTGGTTACATTTTGATGTAATTTTTCCACTTCATAATTCCTAAAGACCCTTATATAAGCAGTTGTATATAATCACTTTTTCCATAAACATCCAAATCATTTCGATTAATTCTCAAAAGCCGAAAGGTTAAGCTAGACAAGTATTGCCATGTTATTGGAAGGGCGTAACACCACACCTTCTTAACTATAAAGGTAATGCGAAATGAAAATAACCATTTCTTTTAAGTATATATTTATATACGAAAAATAAACTCATATATTTTTTCACATTTGGTGAGATTTGAATCCTAGACACTCATAGGAGGCCATATGTCAAAGGCCCATAGGTCATACTGCTAGAACAAAGACCATTTGGTATGAAAGTAACAAATTGGTAACAAATGGCATCCGCTTTATTAAAACCATAAACATATATTCATACTAAACGTTAGAAATACACCGAAGCCATTTTTTTTGATTAACCTGGATATCCTACCCGTTATGCGAGCCGACTAATCTCAGGACAACCACCTGCTCAAAAATAGGTCATTTCGTTTTGTTAAGAAAGAACTCTAAACTATTCATCTCCCGAACATCTTGTTCAAAAGAAAATACAAGATGTTAAACGAAATTTCGCACAGACGATCAATAGGGTTTTAATGAAATAACCGAGCTAAATTCTGCATACATCCTAACCTCCATAGACCCTACTCGGTGTGGAATTCACTGGGTTCGTTTCGTTTGGTTTGGTTTGGTTTCAATTCCAAGCAGTCCCTCTGTTCAACAATTCAAAGCTGTCCACGTATGTCGTAATGTCAACTATGACCGTTTTAGTGTCAACTATGTCCGAACGAGCTCTAAATTTCACAAGTCTTGACCGCTCCCCAGTCACCGGATTATAAACCTTATACCCCTCACGGGAAGTGTAGAACACAAAATCACCAGTGGTAGGCATTTGCAAAACTCTTTCTATTCTTCCTTCATATGGAAAACCATTTGATTTCAAAAACAAAGACCAAGATGTAACGGTGTCGTACAATTTCCTCACCCAAATCCAACTATTATCGCCTTTACAGGAAATAACAGCTACAGAACCATTGATGATCGCCAGTTGTGTGGTTTCCCAACCAGGCTTTGGCAAAGAAATCCTGCCAAATGTATGAGTGCTCAAATCGAATGTCAGAATATAACAATGGAGGCTGTTACCCACCACCCAATCCAATGCAATGCTCCATTGACAAAACACGGGCTTGATTTCACATCAAAAAACTTAGTAGTAGGGGAAGCAATCACACACCAAGAGCCTGTGTTTATGGTGTAAATCAATGACTCTTGTGACCTGCAGTCGGATATGCTCACAACCTTGTAATCATTGGTGATCGGGTCAAAACCAAACCCATATACGCTAGAGAATTGCTGATGAGAGGGCAGGGTTAGTTTGCGCATAATTGAAGGATTCCATAAAGTAATACATTTATCAACATCGTCAAGCACACAGAGAATTCCATTACAAGAGCCAATGATATTGAAAATGTTGCCAGGGAACTCAACTGGTGTGATCCCCATGTATCCATCCAATGGCAATCGGTGTTCAAAATGTGATGTATACAGCTCTGAGCTCTCCCGTAGGTTTCCTTTGCAATAAGTCCGGTGTTTGATGAGGACTGCAGATTTCTGGCAGATCCATGCTTGTGAATAAAATCAGGGCTATCTATACGAGAACACCATGATTTGGAAAGACATCTAAATAGGATGAGTGTGGTAGCCTTTGGAATATTTCATCAATCAACTCATCGCATGTGTAATCTGACATTCTAGATGGGTGGTAATAGTAGGTACCACTTATTTAAAACTTCATTCTTGAATTCGTATAACTAACTGCAAATAAACATAATCAAATACAAAATAAACATCTTATTTTAAATATAAAAAATTTAAAATATAATTATGATAATCATTGAATTCTAACAGAATCATTTATCTTTATAAAAATTATATTGTTAATCCAAAAATAAATTACTTCGCTATTAAACCTAAATTAAATTATAATAAAAAATAGAATTAAAGAAATTGTAAAAGAACAAGAACTTTTAGCTAATTTGATATTAATATCAATATAATTTTTCAAATTTTATGATATCTTCAAATTTATTTTTATTCAAAAGTAAAAACATTATCTTTCTCAATATCACATAAACCATATTATATCAACAAATACAAAACAAAACATTAAAATAAAGATATATCTCGCTGCATTGCACGAGTACGCTTCTGGTATATATATATATATATATATATATATATATATATATATATACAAAACAAATAGCTGAAATCAACACATTGTTACGAACTAGATGCCACCGCGACCGAGTCTTTCTCCGCCGCGACCGAGTCTTTCTCCGGTGGCAGCAGGTAAGTGTCACCATCTTCAAGTTCTGATAACTCATTGGTATGCTTCTTCCTATACCAAGTAAAGTTTCATATAACGATCAGATGGTCTTGCAAGTCGAGGGTTTTCTTGGAAACAAACTCTCTACCCTACAGGGTAGAAGCAAAGTCTGCATACATCATACCCCCAGATCCTACCTCTGCGTGGGATCTACTGGGTTCATTTGGTTTTGTATTTGGTAACAGGAAGGATGTGACAACGAAATAACAAAAGACCACACGAAAACTAGACTTACGGTTTTGAATATATGACGAGACCGATACCAACGAGTAAAAAGGACACGTAGTATAACCAGTCCACCTGCAACAAGTATATGGTCGAAGTGATGCAAAAACGGAAAGAGTTAAAAGAGAGTCCCAACAGCGCATTCGGAAAAATTACCTTCTGGTGGTATAAAAACACACGAATGACCACTGCCCACATATCGGCTGTCAGTAACGATAGATTGAACAGTGTGGCTCCACTTGCCTGCATAAATTCGATTACAAGAACAGCTCGAACCCACACCTCTAAAAAACACTAAAAATCTAACATATGAGCCGCTCCCCACTAAGGGGCTGTTTGGCAGATGTTGAATGGTTTGGTGCAGAATGATTAAGTGGTCAGAATGGTTAAGAGGGCCAGAATGGTTAAGTGCATTCAATAATGTTCTTTGATAACTGTTCTCTGAACGACAACAAATTACTATTTTAACCCTCTGTATGATTTAGTACTGAATGAAATATAGCTGTTTGGCAGGTATCTAAATGAATTAATCTTACGGCCACTACATACATTTTTCAATTTTCAGAGCCCATGAATAGTAGACCCTTAAATATAGAGGCATCCTTCGACGTATGCAAAAAATTTAGTGTTTTAATGGTGGGTTAGAGATGTCTTCCAACCGACCACTAAAACACAAAAATGGAGGCATCTGGTGCTCCGACCATCCAATAAAGATGCTTTTAGTGTGTGGTTGGAACTGAATTTTTTTAGTGGTCAGTGGGCCCACCATTTTTAGTGGTTGCTTGAGAGATAGTCTTCCTGAATGATATTATTATCAAGTTTTTTTTTTATTAACCTGGATATCCAACCCGCTATGCAAGCCGACTAATCCCAGGGCGACCACCTGCTTTGCAGATAGCCCGGAGTCACCGCATTTGAACCTCCGTGGCCACAAGGGGATTTTTATTCCTCCTTGGATTTGAATCTGGGACCTCTAGGTACTTTTGACCTTTGAAGCCAAGCTCAAACCAACCAGACACCACCCTTGTGGTTGATTATCAAGTTTTTTGTTTCATCATATGGAGAATTTAACAAACCTGTAGAACAAGAGGCCTCAAAGAACAGAACATAAAGCTTGCTAACCCATAACCAGCAAAGGTTAAAATCTGAAAGATAAGATTGTGGTCAAAAGATAAAAAATTTAATATGTAAACAAAGTTAAAAAATGCCTCATTAAAGTCAAATAGTCAAAGATGCGTTTTTTTGTGAAACAGCTAGGGATAAGATGTACGCTGACCTATTTAAATACATTCACTTACAACTTCCGCAGACCAAGATACGGATTCAAGATTCTTCCTCTCAAATATGACCCTAACGGTTGGTTATGGAAAACGACACATCTTCTTTCTCAAAATAACGAAATGCATTCACCCGTTTGGTAGTTTAGTCATGAAAACAAACTTCAATCCGATTTTTAAACAAAAAAGGATACATCTCTACTACGCTCATAAGCATTCCAAACAAACCAAGCATTGTTATTACTTCAATCCGACCGACCTTCTTAACACAAAATTCCTGCATATTGGAAATATGGTACAAGGTTAGCATTCGTAGACCACGAAGATGCAAACAAAATTGGAACCGTTACGACTAACCTCACCAACATTGCTTACTGCAAAAAAACAAGTCCCAGCAATCACAAGTGCATCACCCAGAATAGGATTCGAACCACCTGAAATACAAAACAAAACAAAACAGGTATCATTTGAAAGTGGGAGATGTAGTGATTTACTTCCAACTTGCATTCTTACCTCCACCTCCCACTCCGGAATCAGAAAGCAGCACTAAACATAGTCCCGTAACACATAGAGCTGCCCCAAGAAACTGCCATAAGGAATACTTTGTGCCAAGAAAGAGCCACGTGAGAATTATGACCCAAACGATTGTTGCACAGTCGAGTATTGTCACGCTGGTGATGGACGAAAACTGGTATGCTTTGTTAACTGTGATGAGCCACAAGAATAATTATTTACTTCGAATATTCGTAAGATTTCAATCATGGGGTTTCACTATTTCCATTGAAATCAATTCACATACAAGAAGTTAGCTCTACTTTGTAATAGAGTTTCAATTGGAAGTACATTGACTAGAAGGTAGAGAAAAACATGTTTGCCCTTCAGCAAAACAGAGACATTATCCATGTAGGTGGACGTTCAAATGAGAACACCTTCATATTTAATGAGAACATGAGAACCCACCCGTATCCTATGTGATAATACACTTGAAGAGACATACAGGTGTGCGGACAATTTGGCCCGTGTCTCGTAATTAGCATCACATGTGATTGACTATTGTAAAAGGGTGTTCTCACATTTTACGTAAAACGAAGGTATTTATAATGTAAATTAGAAGTAATAAAAAAAGTTCATCTCTTTCACAGTTGTCTGGATTAAAGAATGGGCTTGCAATATTGAAAACTATTAACTACTACTTACAAAGATAACTGCCATGGACATCCACAATTGCTAAGAGGACATACCAATACCAAGAAATCTGTAAACCAAAATCAAGATTCATCACAAATCATCTGGAACAGATTCTGATCAAGTTTCAGAGTTCATGGGGAACTTACATGTAGCTTTTGGCGACGGTACAGCAAGATGCTTCCAAAGACCAATGTTAAAGCCAAATAAGAGAAAAATGAGAGAGTAAATGGGGCATTAACACCTACAAGAACAAAGGAAGCAATCAAATCACGAGGAGAAATAAAAACCCAGATAAGATAATTGGTTAAATTTGTGGAGGGAAATAGGGGTTTAACCTAGATTAGCAGATAGAGAAGAACTGAAGCTTACAAGAGCCATTGAAAAGGAGGTGAGTTGACCCAGCAACACAGCATATAAAACCCTCCAAAATCCCCCATATTTTACACCCTCACTGTTCATGGTGGAACTGATGATCAGTGATGAACTCAATTAGAAATTGGAAGCCAAAACCCAGATTTAGTTCAAAACGAAAGGATTTTAGTTGAAAGAATGTCGATAAAATCGCTGGATATGGAGATTTTAGGAGTGGGATTGGGCAGTGATTACTAAAATGCAAAGTAATGGCGGGAGAGAAAGTTGTTTTCCATTGCGTGGATGATAGCAAGACACACAACCAAACCAAGATCTGTGGACATGTCCAGTCCAGTCCTTGTGCCAGATTGAAAATTCTTTTGCAGAAACTTGTAAAAACATGTAAAATGTGTTTGTGATTGAGCGTCATCTTTTATTTTGATATTATTTAATGAATGCGAAGACTTGAGAAGGTGGGAGACTTGGTTATTATTGTTAGAAGCCATGGAAACCATTGTTAAGATATTTATAGGAAATGATCGATGTTTATTTATTATGATTGAAATGTTTATGTAAGTTGATTAAAGTTTATTAAATTAGGAAGCAATCGAGATATTTATGGAACAATATATTCATTAGTTTAGATAGATCGTTGAGATTGATTTGTAACAATTAGACTTTTTGCAAAATAAGAGAACTCTCTCTCTCTCTCTCTCTATATATATATATAAAGAGAGAGAGAGAGTTTGGTTCAAATGTTAACCAAGATTATTGTGTTAACTTTGTTAATCAAGCTCAACCAATGAAAATTCATCTTTTATCTAGGTTCATATTCATCTCATAGTTTAATGACAAATGTAAATATGTAATTTTAGTATGTATGTAACTCCTATATCATTTATTGGAAGTTACAAAATCAAAAAAATCACATAATTGTTGTTGATTTACTATTGATCTTATTTTTCTATAATATTGATTTATTTATCTATAATGTTCTTGAATTTGTGATTGTTAAAGGAGATCCGATGGTAAAGTTTTCGATATCCTTCAAGCTAATATGGATAAACCCATTGGAAAACAACTCGACAACAATGAGAAGGTTAAAATAGTTTACGATGACAATCGGACTTCGAGTTCCAGAAGTGAAGATAATAATCAAAGCGTTTGTATTGGTAATGGATTAATATGTAATAGTATTCGTTTTAATCGAAATTATGTTGATTATGACGTTTTTGTGTTTTTCATAGTTCATATTGTGTTGGTAGTTTTTTCTTTAATTATTACTACGAGCCTAATTCATATGTTCAAATGCTATGAGTTCTTCGGCAACTTAATTTTTTATGCAATCCAATTCTGATAACCATTCGGATCCATCAACTGCTTGTGATGCTTGACCTGTCATAGACTGCAACTAATGTTCATATACATTCAGGTGTGTTCATATACGTTCAAGTGTGTTCATATACGTTCTAGTAGGGACATTAATTTATATTTTTTGTTAATTTATTATTGATCTTGTTTTTTTTATAATATTGATTTTTCTATCTATAATGTTTTTGAATTTGTGATTGGTAGAAGAGACCCGATAGTAAAGTTTTCGATATCGTTCAAGCTATTATGGATAAACATTTGTTCATAATGAAGAAACTAATGTTCACAAGTGTTCATATTGTGTTCATATGTACACTAGTTGCATATCTCAACATTGGCTCGCTTATGAATGTGTTCATAATGAAGGAACTATTGTTCACAAGTTGTTCATATTGTGTTCATATGTACACTAGCTGCATATCTCAAGATTGGCTCGCTCCTGAATGTGTTCATAATGAAGGAACTATTGTTCACAAGCTGTCCATATTGTGTTCATATATATACTAGCTGCATATCTCAAGATTGACTCGCTCCTGAATGAAATGAAGAAATATTGTTCACAAGTTATTCATATTGTGTTCATGCCTGTGTTTTTTTCTTCGTGTAGCAACTATTCTTATTATATTCATATTGTGTTCATAGCCCAAGTCCATATATATGTCAATTATTGTTCGTATTTGACACAATGGTTAATATATATATATATATATATATATATATGTGTGTGTGTGTGTGTATGTTCATATGGTTCTTACATTAATAAAAATAAATTAATAAAAATAATAGAATTTTTTGATTTTGTAACTCCCAATTAATGATATAAGAGTTACATAAAAAAGAAAATTACCTAAATACCCTTTTCCCATCCGTTCACATTGTTTTTTAAAATTGTAAATTTAAAAATTTAATTTTTTATCATGATTAATCACAACCGTTTATTGTAAGAATCAATGGTCAAGGCTGGTTAACAAAGTTATTGGTTAACATTTGAACCGGCCCCTATATACATACACACACACACACACACACTAGTGTTCGATCCTGTGTATTACACAGGGTAATTTAAAAAAATTAAATCATATCAGGAAACTTATCTTATAGATATGAATGATCATCGAAAATACGATGCTACTTCAAACTTGTACTCTTGAAATAACTCTGAAGTCTGAAGAATTTAGAAATGAAATTATATCAATAATTAGTTAAAATGAAGTTAACCCTAGAATAAAATTTGAATTTAGAAATGAAACTATATCAGTAAATTGAATTCAAACTTAGAAGTAAATTTAGAATGACTCTTCAGACTTGTACTCTTAAAATAACTCTGAAGAATGACTATTCAGACTTGTACTCTTAAAATAACTCTGAAGAATGACTTCAGACTTGTAATCTTGAAATAACTATGAAGTATAACTCTGAAGAATGACTGTTCATAATTGAATTTAGAAATGAAACTATATCAATAATTAGTTAAAATGAAGTTAACCCTAGAATAAAATTGAATTTATATTTGAAACTATATCAATAAATTGGATTTAAACTTAGAAGACCGTCTGTGTCAAATATGAAGACGAAGTCTAAAGAACTTGAGTTCAAAGTTATTCAAATACCCAATATCTTTGAAGAAGACCTCATGGTAAAGCTTGCATCATACAGAGCAAGACCAAACAGAGCTCCTCTGGTCCTCTTAAGGACTAGAGCCCCTCTAGACTCACCAACCAAAAGTAAGGTCAACCAGAGCTCCTCTGGTCAACCAAAGCCTCTAGGTCGTCTATCCAGAGCCTCTGGGTCAAGAAAATGTTAAATATTTAAAGAATTTTAGTTTCATTACAACCAGAGACCCTCTGTTAAACATGAAGATCAACCAAAGCCCTCTGGTTCCTTTATGATGGATTGAAATATTTTTCAAAGGAAATAAATAACGAGAAACAAAGCCATCCAAAAGACAGATTAACCAGAGGGGCTCTAGCTAACAAGACTAAGTCTAAGTCTTAAAGACTTATCTTAAAAGTCTAGATAAGTTTATTACAAGACTTGTACTCTTGAAATAACTCTGAAGTAAAACTCTTCAGACTTTAGAGCTCTGTAAAGGCAAGCCAGAAGCTCTCTATGCACTATGCAGAGGCTCTGCATGGTGCTTTGCAGGCTGCTCCGTTTGGAAAAGAAGACTTCAAAGTTCAGGTGAGCTAACTCTGGACAATGACTCTTCAGACTTGTACTCTGGAAACAACTCTAAAGTAAAACTCTGAATAATGTCTCTTTAGACATGTACTCTTGAAATAACTTTGAAGTATAAAACCAATCCAATGAAATCGGAGTTCATACTTCTAAGTCTGAAAAAGAAGAATTCAAAGTTCAGACTTTAGAGTTCGGTGAACTAAGTCTAAAAAAGAAGACATCAGAATTCGGGTAAGCTAACTCTGAAGAATGACTATTCATACTTGTACTCTTGAAATAACTTTGAAGTACAACTCTGAAGAATGACTGCAGACTTGTAAAAGCCTTCAGCGTTCAAACTTCTAAGTCTAAAAGAGAAGATTTCAGAGTTCGGGTTCCTAAGTATGAAAAAGAAGACTTTAGAGTTCAGACTCTATGTAACGTCCCAACCCACATATTGCATGTAATACATATTTCATACAAAAGAAATATATATAATATCATTCCATTCGGGTCCCTTAGTACAAGAATCTAACATGACCAATTACAAGGTCCAAAATTTCGAAATACATTTCTTGTA